ATAAAACATGTTGCCAACTCACTAGTCCGAACCTACCATCCCCGTGTCCTCACACTGGCACTTCCTCGCTCTCGGCGGGGTCGAATACCCGGGAAACGTTGTCGGCTTCTCCATTATCTGTAGGGCTTCAACGATAACCCGCCGATCCTCCATTGAAGTTTAGCTACCCAAGCTTGCGGTGCCAGTTTTCTCATTACTCTCTTTCTTCTTTCTCTGAACATCCTTATAGCCTCTTAAAGGCGACTCATTAAAGCCTTCCTCTCGACCTGTCGCTTTTATGTCTGGCCCAATAGAGTGCAGTCCTCCAGTCCCTTTCCTATTTTAAATTGTTCACGTATGTAGATCGGGATGGTTGCCAAATCTGAGTTCGTAACGGGATGCTGACTTGCATCGCTTGCACGAAGCAGCTTGGTAGCGGATCGCTCCATGAGTCGGATGAGAACGATGACGCCATCGCGGGAACACCGAGCACTCGACAGGCCATCAAGGCCCTCACCTCCCAGGTAGCTCCCGGGCAAGGGTTTCGTCATTTACTTATATTCCATAATTTTGGCTTTCATTTTGTTTTTCTGATCAATGACCGTGCATTGCAAAACAGGTCAAGGACATGGCCTTGAAGGCCTCAGGGGCTTACCGACACTGCAAGCCGTGCGCGCCTGGAAGGCGATACGAGGAATCTTCTATATCAGCTTCGGGATCGGAACGATTTCTGTATTCTTATCGGCGCGCTTGTGCCGGCAGCAGGAGCACCGGATCGACGCCAATTTTGCTTGGTCTGTCAAGCGGCGAGGGGTCGCCCTTAGCAAGAGGCCGGACTCAGTCAGTGGCGGCCGTGGTGGCGTCGTTCATGGATGAAGAGCCGAGGGAGTGGGTGGCCCAAGTCGAGCCTGGCGTTCTCATTACCTTTTTCCCTTTACCCCAAGGCGGGAACGACCTCAAGAGGATCCGCTTCAGGTACCTTCATCTTGACGATTAAGGATAAAAGCTTTCGATTCTTTGACTGTTTGAGGGGAGAATTTTGGGTCAGGATATTTGATTAAAATTTAATCAGAATGAATCTTTTTAAATATTGTATTTGGTTTGAGATAGTTATAATATATGTTTTGAAATAAATATTATATCTTATCTTTATGATTAAGTATGAGCAAAACTGTATACTCAAATGTTAATTTTACATATTTTTTACCCCTTCTAGCTTCTATAAATAGGAGGATTTTATGATGTATGTAGACTCTTGGCTCTCCTTACTTGTAATAAATAGCTTTGTGGAATAAGATGGGTTGGAGAGTCTGGAAACACAACTTTTTATCCCGGTGGGGGGAAGTCTTCATCTTTTTTCTCTCTTTCTTCCTCTTTTTCTCTCCCTCTCTACTCTTATTTCCTCAATTCAATGCTCTATTCCTTGGGCACGATCTACCAGACAAATTTAGATTCAACATTTTTTAAGGTGCGGTGAGCAT